GTGATCAGTAATAACGGAACAGATTTGCTTCGACTTTCTATTTCGTCCAGGACTTCACCCATCCGAGTACTACAGAATCAGGCAAGTCGTACGTAGGTGGACTCAGGCGGGAGGGGGGTGTTAGGAGGAGACCTAAGAAGATCCAGCTCTTGACTTATCGCGGTTTTTCCATATCATGTGTTCCACCCAACTGTCCGCGCTGCCAAATTTTTATACAACTACTGTTTTCGATATCCCCTCGCTCGAAGGGGGGGGGGGAGGTCGTACTAAGGTCGTACATTCCAAAAACTTTCCCCAACGACAACGAGTGGCCTGTACAGTATGCCTTCACCGTTTTCGGAAACAGCTTGTTCAATTCTATTTTGAGACATTCTAACTTCTTCATTCCATCCAATCGCTTCTAAGCCAACTCTTTTCAGTGATGAAGAGTTCCGAGAAGAAGAGGAGCTGTCCGACGAGGAGGTTGAACCGGAGGTCCTTCCACATCTAGATGGTCAACGCAACACACTGGAATGGGACGATGATGCCGTCATGGCCACCACAAATGCCCGCTCCTATAGGGTCTGATGCGTTGCTGTGTTCCCTACAAGGTAAAATTATCACCCCCTTAGGTCAGTTGATCGCCCAGTTCCCCCCTTTTCCTCCGACAGCGTCATACGTGTGTTCCGACTTCATGATTGTACGTTTTCCACGTTCCACTTTGGACGATCACCACTCGTCACATACAGAATTCTATCGTGACATCCCTAAACCGCCGTTTAATTCGGATTTGTATTTTTGTATGTTGTTTATGTGTTCTCATGTTTTTTTTTCTATATATGTATTTCCATCTCGATGATCTGGTCCGTTCTGTGTTGTGTTTCGCGTACGGCACTTACTTTCTCACATCTCGTTTGATCATATAGTGTTCATGTATATGTACAGCCTCAGCCACCTGGACTGATCCGTGGGTATACGACGCGCGCGGTCGCGGTGCGGCAGAGTCAAAGGTCTCATGGCCTTTCCACACCGCGTGCTCATTTCGCAAAGCAGAAGCAAGCATAACCCTACAGAA